AGGCATGCAGCAGTACCACCACGCTTTTTCTGTTTTTAAAGACACTACCATATGTCCCAGATTGCCCATGAATTTGCTATATAGCTGAGGATGTCCTCGAACTCCTGATCCTCCCACCTTTGCCTGTGTGCTAGGATTGCAGACCTGCACCACCACTCCCCGGCTTCACATGTGATAGGCAAATGCTCTACCAAATGGACTACATTTCCCAGGACCAGGGGTGGTGGACTGCCTTCCTTACCTCCAAAGCTCATCACACAAAGACACAGGAACAGAAAACATTGCACTTTTTTTTTTCTTTTTGGTTTTTCGAGACAGGGTTTCTCTGTGTAGCCCTGGCTATCCTGGAACTTGCTTTGTAGACCAGGCTGGCCTCAAGCTCACTGAGATCTGCCTGCCTCTGCTTCCCAAGTGCTGGGGTTAAAGGTGTGTGTCACCACTGCCCGTCTGAGAAAACATTGAATTTATACAAAAAGCACCTCACATTGTTCTTGGCTGGTGAAGAACTTGCTAGAACGAGTTAATCATAGGTGAGAGTGAGGAGGAGTGAAAGGGAGAAAGGTATGGGGGGGTGAGGGCTCCCACAGACTGTATGGTAAAATCATGTGACCTGCTTGTGCAAAGATTCTGGGTAAGCAGGGCACACTGGGTTCTTCCATTGTTTTGTTTTGTTTTTGGTCTTTCGAGACAGGGTTTCTCTGTGTAGTTTTGGTGCCTGTCCTGGATCTCGATCTGTAGAACAGACTGGCCTCGAACTCACAGAGATCCTCCTGCCTCTGTTTCCCGAGTGCTGGGATTAAAGGCCACCCAGCTGGATTCTTCTATTGTTATTTATCTATTTTGATTTGTTTATTTATTTTTTGAGACAAGGTCTCACTATGCAGCCTTGGCTGGCCTGGAATTCACTATGTAGACCAGGCTGTCCCCAAACTGACAGTAGATCTGCCTGCCTTTTTCCTTCCTTGTACTGATATTACAGCAGTATGCCACCACACCCATCCTGAAATGGCTGTGTTAAAAACATCCCAAGTCAGAGCCAGGCAGTGGTGGCACACAGCTTTAACTCCAGCACTCAGGAGGCAGAAGCAGGTGGATCTGAGTTTGAGGCCAGCCTGACCTAAGAGCAAGTTCTAGGATAGTAGGGGTCCAAATAGAAACCCTGTTCTGAAACAAAACAAAACAAAGAAAATAGCCCAGGCCAGCCATGGTATTGCATGACTTTAATCCCAGCACTCAGGAGGCAGAGGCAGGTGGATCATTGTGAGTTTTGGTCTACATAGTGAGTTCCAGGACAGCCAAGGCTACACAGAGAAACCCTGTCTCGAAAAACCAAAGCAGCCTAGGTCTGGACCAGTGGTGTGTGACTTTAATCTCAGAACTCAAGAAGGAGGTCCAGTAGAATCTCTGTTAAATCAAAGCCAGCCTGCATGGAGAGAGACCCCGTCTCAAGAACTAAATCAAACAACAATGGTAATAAAACTAAAAACTAAAAGAGAATTAGACTAGCCCAGTCATGAGTCTGGTGACTTGGCTCTTTGGGTGGAACACTACCTTTCTGGTGCTGCTTCAAGACTTAAGACTCCCCTCAGATCCCTCTGATGCCCACCTCCAGCTGTGGGACCACTAACACTTGTCCCTGATGGCTCTTAAGCTATCAATACAGACAGGCAGCCAGGCGTGATGGCACACACCTTTGAACCCAGCACTTGGGAGGCAGAAGCAGGCGGATCTCTGTGACTTTGTGGCCAGTCTGGTCTACAAAGAGAGTTCCAGGACAGCTAGGGTTACACAGAGAAACCCTGTCTCAAAAAATAAAAAACCAGAAGGAAGAGGAAGAGAAACGGGAGGAGGAGGAGGAGGAAGAAGAAGAAGAAAGATGATGATGATGATGATACAGGCAGGCATTTAGCTTCTACAGAGCCCTCCTATGTCCGAAGCTTTCCCAGGAATCAATATTAGAAAAGTTACAGTGTGTGGTTACCTTATAATTTATCAAGTCACTTTGTTGCTAGTTAGGTAGTAGTGACCTGATAGTCACCTGGAAGCCAGGTATAACACAGTCCCTGTGCTGTTTATCTCACCTAGGGAGAAGAATTTAGTTGCAAAAATGTCAATGTATTTTATTTGGAATCCTAGCCCAGGACCTGATAGGGGTCATGAAATAGATACTATTTGTTCTTAGTTTTCATTCTGCACTGGACAGTTTGTTTCAATGTTTTCTAAAAGAATATCCTTAATCTTCTATTTCCATGACCCTTGCCAATGAGACTTTGTAACTATTTGTATCAAGATGTATCCTCTTAGGGTTAGCGAGACAGTTCAGCAGCAGGGCAGTTCTTAGTTATCTGTAACCCTAGTTACAGTGCCCTTCTGTAACCCTAGTTACAGTGCCCTCTTCTGGTCTCCTTGGGTACTGCATAGACATTCACATAATGCGGGCACACGCTTACCCAAACATAAAATAAATATGACAAAATTAGGTGTTACAATTTCCTTAAAAAGTGACCTGCTTTCCCCTCCTAGAGTTTGGCACATCCAGAATTGCTTCTGCAGAGAAATGTGACAGAGTGACTTTGGTGCCAGTCTGAGCTTAGGTTTCACAGGACTGGGTTCTTCCTGTCTTGGAACCCCAGCTGCTGTGTCAAGTGCCTGGCCAGCCTGTGCCATGTGAGAGCCTATCTGTGCCATGGAGGATACCCAGCTGAGTGCATACTGACCACCCAGCTGCAAGGCTTTTCAGACTCAATTGAATACCAGTTTCATTATTGTAATGATGGCGGGGCTGCGGCAGAATCCCGCCTGAGCCACGGCATCTCTTGGCAATTGCTGTTTCAGCCTTCCTGGAGGACACAGGGAGAATCAAATCAGGAGCCGGCAGTTCCCAAGACTGCTGGGAGCCAGCATGAAAGAGCTGCCGGGGCAGGTGAATGAATGCACACTGGGCAGCTGCCAGGTCACCTGAATAGAACGACATCCTGATAGGACCTCCCTCCCCCGGATGACTTGGTGTCCTGAGCTGTTTTTGCTGGCTGGAGTTGCTTCCACAGAGTGTGCCCTTTCCCGTGTTAGAGGAGAAGGGCTGAAGGTGAGGTGTGTGTGCTGGTAACACACACATCTCCATGACACTGTCAACTTGCAGATGAGAAGGGGGGACCACCTTCCCCTGTGCGAGCAAGACGTGCTCTGATGACTTAGAATTGGCAACGAGCTGGTGCTGGAGCGGTGGCTCAGCTATTAAGAGTTCTAGTTGCTCTTCTAGAAGACCAGAGTTAGAGTCTCAGCACCCACATGGCAGCTCACAACCATCTGTAACTCTAGTTCCAGCGAATCCAACGCCCTCTTCGGATCTACTTGGGTACTGCACACACACACACACACACACACACACACACACACACACGGTGCATGTGCAGGTGAAGTACCCACAAACACACAAACCAACTAATAATAGAATTGGAGAAAAGCCCCAAATCAATATCAGCCCACCTACCACACTAACAGTGCCCTCACCAGGCAGGGTAATAAGCTGCAGGAGATTTTTCAGAAGTCAGTACTTTAGAAAGGAAAAGCATCAGTCAGATCCTGGTGGCTTCCAGCTTGTCTGTCCTTCGCTCCTTCCTTGTTCCCTTAGGAGCACTTCTCAGAAACCCTAGGGCTTCAGGCACTGAGGATTCCAGGACAGCAGACTAGGGTCTGGCTTGAGGGCCAACCACGGCCAAGGAAGACAGACAGCCAGTGAGAGAGATCCTAAGTCCTGCTGATGTGTGAGTTGATGCTTAAAAAATGCAGAGAGCAGGCCTGTAAATTTGGGGTGAATTTGGGTAAGGTCCCTGGTAGGATCAGGTGGGCTGTGACTTGGAGAATGATGCTATTCTAAGGCCATCCTGAAGGGGGCACCACTGAAGCGTTTAATGAGAATTGAAATCTGATGTATGGGTTTTTTTTTGTTGTTGTTGTTGTTGTTTGTTTTTTTGTTTTTAATATTTGTTGTTTATCTTGAGGTTGGTGAATTAACCAGACTGTATTGGAACTCAGCCTTCCTGGGGCAGCATAGAAGGTGCGGAAGACCATGCAGATATGAGAATGAAAAGAAGCCTCTCATTCTGGAGTTTTTCCAAAGCCTCTTGCCAGCGGAGACTCAGGAATTTCAGCACAATTAGCATTTGCTGGGCAGGTTGCCAACACCACGCCATTATTCCTTTTCTTAGTAATGAATGTCAATCACTAACAATTGCATCCACGTATAGGATGCCTTCTGGAGACTGTCCCCCACCCTTGGCTGCTCTCCTTTCTTACAAATCTCTTTCCATATTTGCCAGTTAGGGTTTTATGTGGTGTCCCACAGACTTGATTTTTTTTTTTTAAAACTGGTTTTGTAAAAAATCAATTTTTTAAAATTTTTAGGTGTGTGGATGTTTTGTATGCACGCACGTCTGTGTACCACTCGCATACCTGATGCCCAAAGAGGCCAGAAGAGGACAACAGGACCTTTGGAACTACAGTTGCAGGGTATTTGTGAGTCACCATATAAGTGCTGGGAACTGAATTTGGGTCCTCTGGAATAGCAGCAAGTTCTTTCAACCACTGAGTCGCCTCTCCAGGCCTAAAAAATCTTAAAAAGTGTTTCCTTCCAGGCAGTGGTGGCACATGCCTTTAATCCCAGCACTCGGGAGGCAGAGCCAGGTAGATCTCTGTGAGTTCAAGGCCAGCCTGGGCTACAGAGTGAGTTCCAGGAAAGGCACCAAAGCTACACAGAGAAACCCTGTCTCGGAAAAAAACAAAACAAAACCACAAAACAAAACCAACCAAACAAACAAAAAACAAAATAAAACAAAACAAAAAAAAAGTATTTGCTTGTTTATCTTGTTTATTACTATTTGTGATGATTCCACTTAGTTGCATGGCCATTTTTTAAGCTAGATTGTTTGTTTTCTTCAGGTTTAAGTTTTATTTTTATTTATTTTTTATTTATGAAAAGGTATTTTTTATTATTTTCTTACAGAACATCTTAATGAATACACCATTTGCATTTTCTCAGCTGGCAAATAAGACAAAAACAAAATTGCCTCGATGCTTGGAACATCGAGAGCTGTCACCTGTCTTTGGGGGGATCCACTTTCTTACGGCACCTGTGATACTGTCCGTGCGGGTGCCAGCGATGCTTTGTGGTGAAGAACACCTTGCTGAGCTGCTCTATCATGGGGCCTTGCTCAAGTTGTTTGCTTTTTCCTAATTTGGTTTTCAGCAATTGTTCCTGTGTTTCTTCATTATTATGCAAAATATCAGGTTGAGGGATAGGCTTGGTGTGTTCGTAGGGGATGTCCACAGAAGGGTGGTGGCACACTATTGTTCTGCCATCGGCTGTCAAAGCCAGCTCTACCTTGCAGTTGTAGTCCTCTGGAAGAGAAGAATATGTAGACTGTAGCAGGAATCTTAAAGAGTCTTATTAATAAAATCAAACCTGAGGCCAGTTATTCGGGTGAATGCTGGAAGATCAGAGAAGCAGAACAAGCCACAGCTTCCTCACCTCGACAGTTCCTCAGCTGATCCTGTTTCCTCAGACTGGAAGCCTCTGTGTCCTCATCCCAATGGCTCTCAGATGAACTGCTGCTCGAAAGCTTGAAGCTTAACCAGCTAAAAGCCTCTAGTTCCTGGTCCTCACACCTTATATACCTTTCTGCTTTCTACCACCGCTCCCTGGGATTAAAGGCGTGAGTCACCATGCCTGGCTGTTTCCAATGTGGCCTTGAATTCACAGAGATCCAGAGGGGTTTCTGCCTCTGGAATGCTAGGATTAAAGGTGTGAGTGCCACCATTTTCTAGCCTCTGTATCTAGTGGCTGTTCTGTTCTTTGGCCCCAGATAAGTTTATTAGCATGCACAATGTTTCGGGGAACACATTACCACCACAGTAGACTTATGACAGACACTAGATAAAGCTCCATTTTGGACTGGAAATAAATGTTTCCAGATAGTTCTGTTTGATGTCACCCACTGGACTGCTGACGCCATGGTCCTTATCGGGCGATTTGAAAAAGATATTGTGAGGAGAAATCGCTTCTAAAATCTGTTTCTAGGCACACAGAATTTCATTCCTCAGGCCAGCCATCTTGCCTCCCGGGTTTAAGTTTTAAGTTTATTTATTTACTTTTGTGAGTCTCTCTCTCTCTCTCTCTCTCTCTCTCTCTCTCTCTCTCTCTCTCTCTCTCTCTCTCTCTGTGCACCCAGACAGACGTGAGGCTGCCCAGGGCTGGGGGAGACAGCAGGGGATGGCTGATCATGGGTATGGGTTCCTTTTGGGGTAATGAAAACATCCTGGGACTTGCTGGGTGTGGTGACTCACACCTATAATTCTAGGACTCAGAGTGTGAGAAAAGATGGTTGCCACACGTTCAGGGTCATCTTGGGCTACATAGTGAATTATCCTGCGGCACATAATGAAACCCTGTCTCAAAACAAACAAACAAACAAAATCCCCCCCCCCCAAACAAATAAGCAAGTAATCCCGAGAATACCCTGGAACTTGGTAGTAAGGGAGGGGTGTATGACTCTGTTCCACTCTGAACGTGATGCACCACTTACTTTTGAAGGTTGGAGTTGATAGTATATCAGCCATGTCTCAATACTAGTGCTTGAAAAAGTGGAGCTAGGGACTGGAGTGATGGCTCAGAGGTTGAGAGCACTGGTTGCTCTTCTAGAGGTCCTGAGTTCAATTCCCAGCACCCACATGGTGACTCACAACTCTGTAATGAGATCTGGTGCCCTCTTCTGGCCCACAGGCATACATGCAGACAGAATACCGTATACATAATAAATAAATAAATAAATAAATAAATAAATAAACAAGCAAATAAATATCTTTGAAAAAAAGAAAAAGAAAAAAAGAAAAAAAGAAAAAGAAAAAGTGGAGCTCGAGATGCTGGGGAGGAGATGGGTGGGGTGGTTCTGGGAGAGAAGAATCTAGAACCAGGAGGAGCCTGGTGGCAGACTAGTGGACACTTAGGAAGGACACTCCGGGGAGTTTTGGCTGGGCTGGTGGCAGAGGCCATGGGTAAGAGGGGGAAAGGTTTTGGTTTGGCAGACTGGGTATAGAGCAACCATGGCTGATGGGTTTCTGCTGGGTCTGCCCCCTTAACCAGTTGCTGCAGCCTGCACAGGCAAAGCTCATGTGGGAAACCTGGTCCCCAGTGCCACCGTGTGGAGAGGTGGGGCATTTCCACGGTGTGAACCAGGAGGGCTCTGCTTTGGTGACCAGAGGAGCAGGGTCCTGGTAAAGCTGTCTTTGTCTCTCTCATGCTTCTTCTCTGTAACAGCCTTTCTCGGACCACCAGCCCCCCAAATCATGACGCGGAGACTTCTTATTAGTTAGGAATGCTCAGCCTTATCTTACGTGTGTCCCACTAGCTCTCATAACTTAAATTAACCTGTTTCTCTTCATCTATGTTTTGCCTTAGGGCTTTTTACCTTTCTTTCATTCTGTATGTCCCACTCTGTGTCTGTCTGTCTGGCGGCTGCCTGGCTGGCACTGGGCACCTCCCACTCTTTCTCCCTCGTTCTCCTCATTCTCTTCTCCTCTCAAGCTGAGATTCCTCCTCCTCCTTATTCTCTCTGCCCACCAGCCTGCCTGTCTCTCTACTGCCTAGCTATTGGCCACTCAGCTTTTTGCTAGAGCAATCAGGTACCTTATGCAGCAAGGTAAAACAGCAAAACATCTTTACATAATTAAATAAATTAAGCATAAACAAATGTAACACATCTTTGCCTAGTTAAAGTAATATTCCCATAACATTTCTTTTTCCCTTTCCCTGCCCTTCTGCTTTATGCCCTGCTGTGGCATGACGTGGCACCAAGACCTTTGTCAGGTGCCAAATCCACACTCTTGGATTCTCATCCTTTAGAACCTTGAGCCAAATAAATCTCTGTCCTTTATAAGTTATTTAGTCTCAAGTAGTCTGTTACAGCAATAGAAAATGCGTGAAGATGTGCCTGGATAGCCATATGAAGTATGGTTGTTAACATGACTTAAGACTTGGGTCTGGGACTCGTTGGATCTTGGCTCACTGCCACCACAGGAAGTCATTTGGTCAAGAGAATTACTATCTTTTTTTGCTTGGTGGTTGTTTTTCATTTTTTGAGACAAACACAAAATTTCTCTTGTGTGGCTCTGGCTGTCCTGGAACTTGCTCTGTAGACCAGGCTGGCCTTGAACTCACAGAGATCCGCCTGCCTCTGCCTTCAGAGTGTTGGGATTTAAGGTGTGTGCCACTGCAGCCTGGCCGAGAAATAATATCTTAAGGTCAGCTTTCCCACCTGTTCTGTGAGGACAGCAAGTGTCCCTCCTTTGGCAGGTGTGGCTCATCTTAAGTCGGGTGGGGCACTGTGAGGAAGGGTGTTAAAGCTGCAAGATTCTAGGGACCTGTTTCCTCAGATCCTGCCTCGGCTCCTTATCCATTGGAATACCTGAAGGACTTGGTGATAAGGTTGGGCTCCTTGAAGTCCCTTCTCAAACCCCAGCTCTGTGATTCTGTGACATGGAGCCCCACCAAGTCGCATGGTCTCTAAAAAGCTGTGAAATCTTACCACCCAGTGGGCATTTGAGAATAAGATGGAAGGTTCTCTTCCCTTGTAGGAGGCATGGAGGTCCTTGTGCTCACAGATAAGCCCCGAGGGAACCTGGAATGTTAGTTAGCACACAGGGTTGTTCTTCAAGAGGATTGTGATACCCACTGTCCTCCCAGAAGGCTGCGATGAGATGCACATTCTAGCCTGGTGACCTTTGCATTATCTGTGTATCCGGAGACCACACCGGACTCTCCCCTAGGCCCTTATTATAAGCTTGCCTTTTTCAGTCAATCTATGGAACCCGTCTTTATGGAAGATGTCACAAGTACTTTACAAAGAATTTTGATGTAGTCGTGTCTGGTCTTCATTTAGCTTGCTTTATTCTTCAAAGAGATTTATGTGTATGCTTTATTGTACACATGGGAATGATTTAATTATCAGCAGAAAAGTTTTCACCAAATTGTGCTGTGCTTAAATGTGCCTAAAATAAACCGTTCTGGGTCAGACCCCTGAAGTCTGAGCCAACACCGGCTACTTCACTGTGTTGGGCTGAACTGCCTTCTTGCCTTCTTCAGATTGTCGCTTTGCTGGCTGCAGAAATCACTGTGACCCCTGGATTCCCTTTACTTCATCGAGGGAGCCTCGGTCTGAAGGCCATCACAGTCATAGTTGAGGGTGCATGATCAGTATCATGTGACCCAGTGAGATCTGCTATTCCTTCTTTGCCAGGCTAAGGATGGAACCTGGGGCCTCTCTAACTTCAGGTGAGTACTCTTCCCCTAACCACGCATCTTATTTTATAATTATCTACAGCTGGTTAGATACTTCTTTAAACCTTTACTAAGGCTGTGGTTGTGTGAATGAGAACGGCCCCCATAGGCTCATATATTTGAATGTTTGGCCCCTGGTTGGTGGAACTGTTTTGGGAAGGATTAGGAGGTGTGGCCTTGTTGGAGGAGGCGTGTCATTGGGGGTGGGCTTTGAGGTTTAAAAGTTCACACCAGGCCCAGCCAGTGCCTCTCTGCCTCCAATCTGAGGATAAGATATAAGTGATTAGCTACTGTTCTAGGGCCATGCCTACCCACCTGATGCTGTGCTCCCTTTCACCATAGTCATGGACTAACACTAAAACTGTAAGCAAGCCCCTCATTAAATACTTCCTTTTATAGGTTGCCTTGAGCTGGAGAGAGGGCTCAGCGGTTAGAGAAGTTTGTTGCTTTTCCACAGGACGTGAATTTGATTCCCAGCACCGACATTGGGTGGCACATAACCACCTGTAACTCCAGGTCCAGGGGATCAGATGCCCTCTTATGGCTTCTGTGGGCATCTGAACACAAGCGGAATGCAAACACATACCCACACAAATAAAAAGAAATCTCACAAATAAAATAGCTGGGTGTGTTGGCACACACCTTTAATCCCAACGCTCAGGAAGCAGAGGCAGGCAGATCTCTGAGTTGGGGGCCAACCTGGTCTACATAGTGAGTTCCAGGCCAGCCTGGGCAACACAGTGAGACCCTGTCTCAAAAAATAAAGAATAAAATAAGCCCTTTCTCCCCTAAGCTGCATTTTTCAGGGTATTGTTATCACAGTGATAGAAATGAAACTAAGACTCCGTCTGTCTGTCTGTCTACCCACTTAGCTATCTGTCATCTCCCTTTAGTTCTGTTTCCCTAGGGACTCTTCACAATGGCCTCAGGCAGACACCCAAATGAGGTGGCACTCTAGAGGCCTGTTGCATACATCCTCCACGGTACAGCCCTAACCTTAGTCCCACGAGTCAACAGCACAGTCAAGCCTCACACGATCATGGTGTACACTCCACAGTCAGGGCCGGACTTGCAGCCGCCGTCCTGTTTTTCCTGCTCCTCAACCTCGTATTTTAGAGTAAAGCCTGGACTTTGTGCCAGTTCACCCCTTCTACCTCAGGTATTCTTCTGGAAAGAGTTTCTTCCAGACCCCCATGGCCATCCGTGGTCATACCTGACATTAGCGATGACTTCCAAATAATGAATAATTCCAATAATTCCCCGCTTGTCTCACGAGTGCTTTTTTGGTGGTGAGTTAATTTCCCCCAGGCCCCACACCTGGCTTTGGTTATTGTGTCTTTCAAACATCTTTGCAAGTGGCCTTTCCTTTTCTTTCCATGTCTAGAACTCCCTAAAGGTAATAGTCTCACCAGCCCTCCCGGCAACCATGGGGTTCTCTATCCCCCAAGCATCAGGACCTGGAGGCTCCCTGGAAATCGGATCTCAGCCCTTCTGGACCCCTGAGTCAGTGCGTTTTAGGACTCTGTGTCCTGGGTCTTGTGCACAGAAAAGCCCCCCGGCACTCTGGAAGTCAGTCCGGCAAGGATACATCTGCTGGCTTCTTGGATGTGTCCTCCTCCATCTGCGCTTCCCCCTGCAGCATTTCCTGTAGATTTTGGGATCCCCTTAAACTTCACATTTTTGGCAAGAATGGG